ATAAAAATATATTACCAAGTTGATACATTATGACCAACTGGGATTTATACCAGGAATCAAGGATGGTTAATTATAAGGCAAACTATTAGTATAATTGATTATATCAATAATAAAAGGAAAAAACATATGATTATATCAATAGATATGGAAAAAAGCTTTTGATAAACTATGACCTCATTTCTAATAAAAAAATTTGAAAATGTAGGCATAAATGGGTTTTTCCTTAAATTGATAAAAAGCATGTTTATCTAAAACCATCAGCAAGCATTATTTGTAATGGAGATAAACCAGAAGCCTTCCCAGTAAGATCAAATGTGAAACAAGGATGCCCACTGTCATCGATATTATTCAGTATTATATTGGAAATCCCAGTAATAGCAATGAGAAGAAACAGAAACAGAATCAAAATAGGGAATGAGGTAATAAAACTATCTCTTTTTGCAGAGAATATGATGATATATCTGGAAAATCCCAAAGATAACAAAAAAGTTAGTTGAAACAATTAATAATTTTAGATATATGACAAACAAATCCCACAAGAAGAGATAATAAGAGATACTCCATCTAAAATAACTCTAGCAAGGGTGGGGAACCTGTAGCCTGGAGGCCTATATGTCCTCAAGTATGGCCCTTTGACTGAATCCAAACTTCATTGAACAAATCAAATGTTTTGTGAAGTCTGAATTCAGTCAAAGGGCCACACTTGAGGACATAGAAAGTCACATGTGGCCTGGAGGATACAGGCTCCCCACCCCTGCAAGATAGTATAAAATACATGGAAGTACATTTGCCAAAACAAACCCAATAGCTATATTGAGATAATTGGAAAAGTATAAATTATTCATGGTAGGCAGGTCCAATATAATAAAAATGAAGAGCAAAAAATCAAGACTATCAAGGGAACTAATACGAAATGTAAAGGAAGGAGGTTTTACAGTATCTGATCTTAAACTGTATTTTAAGGCAGTAATAGAAATAGAAAAATAGCTCATAAAGTAAAAAAAGAGATTCTTATCAGGCACGGGATTTCGGTCAGGATAGGAACAGCAAATGGTATCTACACTGAAATTCTCTGGAGTTTCAAAATTGGAGAATCAAATTTAAATATTATTAGCAGAATTGTCTAGGAGCCTCTAAATTTGGAATCAGAGAAGCAGAGCCTCTTTTAGAGCTATCCTGAGAATAAGCATATTGTCCAAGAAAAGATATCTAGGGACAAGATAACTACATGAGACATCTGGGAATCAAAACGTGCTTGCTGAGAATGGGTTACTAGGAAACAACAAGACTTGATGTTAATTAATATTGGTGATAACTATTGTATTGCTTTGGTCTTTTGTTTTAAGATGTTTATGTTTAAATTTTCTTGGTTACCTTGGTAACATGTAAGTCTCCCGTCTCAAAACTAGTTTGTTGTGAGCCAAGTAATTTGATCTATACCTGACTTAATGTAATTATGCAATTATGGCAATTCTAAGAAAACTTTATTGCATTGTTTGAACCTAGCCCTGCATGGCTGGGAAACTGGACCATCCTTATGTGCTGTTTAGAGACTCTTAACTAATAACCTATAATATGCTGACCAGAAACTCAGATTCAAAGATTGGTGCAAGGAGTTTTCTCCAAGGGTTCCTATCAGGTCCTTCAGACTACTCCCACAGCTGCCAAACTTGTGGGTATGGACTCCTGGATCATCTGAAGAAAGCCCATGCTCCTGAGTGGACAGCAGAACTCTCCAGGGACCTCAAGGTTCATCTAGTATAGAACCAGAAGCAGCTAACATCCAAAAGAGACAGCTGTCCCAAGATTCTGGATAAGGGCTGAGTATACTGTCCTAGTTTTTTCTCCCTATTCTCTTTTGTTATGTGCCCAACCACCAAGGCCCTGATTCAAGTGTGTGTTGGCATTTTCTCCCCCTACATTCTTGGCCCCCCCTCTCTTTTCTGCTTGCAAGCAAACAACAGCTAGCAATGATACCTGGGACGTACTTCCCCAGTAGGTCCCCTCAAGGAACTGACCCCCTGGTAACCCTAACCCACTGGCCTCTTGTAGCATGTTGGCATACCTGCCTCTCTTTTACTGGCCAGAAGGGTGGGCATTCTTTCAAACCCCCTCCCTTTGGCCAAAAGAGGGAAATGTCAAGATATTAGGAGACACCCTGTTTTCCAGAGCTAAGGCCCAGCAAGCAGGCTGTGCCCTGAGCTTGGCATAACAACAATCCTTTGTGCTCACCCTGTGGATGATCTCAGCCACAGCAAAATCCCAGAACAGTTTATGAATCAAACTTCTCACATGGTTGTTCTTACTCCTCATTGTCAGGACTACAGCTCACTGCAAAGCCATAAGTATAAATCTTGAGATCTTTCCATACTTAAGCACCGCCCCCCACCCCATACACATACTAGGGGTGGAACTCTGACATTCATGTCCTTGCTTGCAAGCTGTTTCCTACACTTTGAAATTAAACTTCTGTTTGATTCCTGACTCCTCTCTCTCTCTAACCCACTTTGTTTGTCTCCTGTCACCCACAAGTTAGAGGCCAGTTCTGTCTAGTTGACAGCATTCACAGTTCCCAAATTTAAAGATTTTAGTTTTGCTTAAGAGGTTAATGAAGGCATTGCAATGCCTTCAGATTTGAATATTTGTCAGCCTGAAAGCTTTAGTGGACAGCTGTTTTTCTGGGTTTTGAGTGAACTATGATGTATTCAATATGTATGCAATCACAGAATGCTATTATTCTCAATTTCTAGTGATTGATTCCTGCTCCAGGATGGATTTAAAATAGAAAGAAAAATAAAGCTTTGTATGTGTTTATTGCTAACTGTCATTCAAATAACATGAGAAAAAAAATCTCTCGGGACTATAATTTGATATCATTCTGAGTTTTAACTTCAGGTAAAATTGTCTGAATTGTAGTTAAGTCAGTATCCCCTTTTAAGGGAAATGCCATGTGGTGCTCAAAGGGAATGCAATTTGAGAAGTGCTACAAGTGGATGTTCATGCCTGGGAAAATTGAGAAGACAACCTTTCAAATGGTGGAAACCTCTTTCTCTATTATGTTATTTCCTTTCTGAACAGCAAATTTTCCTACTTTATTAATTGAGTCTGGCTGTAGTACGCTATGAATAATGTAGAACTTTTCTATATGTTTGACTGTTCCAAGGAATGACTATGACTATGACTGTTACTTGAAATCAAAAAAAGGAAGCTCTATCCTGTTATACTTATGTCAGGTCAGTCTGTGCCCTTGAAGAGAAAGTATTCATTTTATAACCATGTTGCTACTTCTTTTCTTAGTGAATTTCTATAATAAATATACAGGAACTGTAAAAGCTTTTATATTTGATGAATCTTGTTGCTGCAATACTCAGCATCTCTGCGTTAGTATAATGGGATACAAGTATAAAAATCTTACTGTTTTAAACTTTATCATTTTAAATCTGTGATCACTAATAGTTATGGATTCAGGCATAAGATTAGATCCTTAAAATATCTCATTCTTTCTGGATGGTATGAGGATAATACATATTCTGGTTTTTTTTTTAGGCAATTGGGGTTAAGTGACTTGCCCAGGGTCACACAGCTAGGATAATACATATTCTGAAAGTAGGAACAGGACAAAAAACATTATGTGATAATGGAGTAGTACGCTTCACTTTGAGAAAAGCAACAAATACTGAGTTGTTTTCTCTAACAACCAGAATATATCTACATATGTGTAAATATACATATATGTGCACATATCTACACACATGTAAATATACATATATGTGTACATATCTACATGTGTGTGTGTGTGTGTGTGTGTGTGTGTGTGTGTGTGTGTGTTTCTATTAAGAAGAATGACCAAAGGACAAATTAACTCCATAAGGTTTAAACTGGTTTTTACCACATGAACTTATTACTGGAAAACTAAATCTAAGAGGAACACCTCTTCAGAACTGCCATTGAAATGAGGCCTAATCCAGAATTTCCAAGGGAAAATGTTTCCAAGGATCAGATGGCTACACAGTACAACTAAGACCCAACGTGAAATAAGATTTGATTAAATGTAGTTTAATCTATAACCTGACTTAGTTTACCTATAGAATCTGTTTAAGTTTGTTTGCATGAGATTATGCATGAGATTATGAATCTGTTTAAGTTTATTCAACTTCTATGACATTGAAGGAAGCATGAGATTGTGAATCTGTCCTTAAATTTTTTTTTTATATATTTATGGTCATAGCGTTCTTTTAATGACTGGGAAATCTCTCTGCATTATGTAGTATACTTGTTTCCTGGTACAAGTCTAAGTCCCCTGACTTATAGCCCCTGATTCTTATTCAATTTGATCCCTCTGACTGAAATGTTGGGAAAAATTTGCCATCAATCTGGTCCCTATCACTCCTTAAAGGAATTCTGTCAAATGAATAGTGAAGAGTATGCCTCCACTGACTTGGGACATTTTAAAGAGCTTCCTTTGAAACCTTAGTCTAGCTCTCTGCTTCCGTAATTGTGCTTCTTCTAGTATAGGAATGCTGGCTTTAAATACCCAATAAGAGAAAACTGCAGGAATTTTTTATTAAATTGTTTGAACCTAGCCCTGCATGGCTGAAAGTTCTGACTTGTTGGTGAGTGATCAGGTTTGTTTAATGTTTAATTCAGGACTCCAGATTATGTTGATCTCAAAAAATCCTTCCAGGGGCGCTAGATCCAAAGATTGATGTAAGGAGTTTTCTCCCGTTATGCATCTCAAGCAATCTCTGTGCTGGCCAATCAACTATTTCCTTGTTCCTTTTTTTGAATTTTACATAATGTAAAACTTCAGAGACTGGAGGGTGAGGGAAAGTGGCACCTTTTTTGGCTCTACTCCTTGCCCAATGACTTAATAAATTTCTTTCTAATTTTTTTTTCAGTTCTGAATTTGTTTTCTGCCAACAGGTACAATGTTCATTCAAAAGTATCCAGTTACAGAAGCAGAAGAACAAGAAAGTGTTTTAGAGAACTTCTTATCATACCTGGTTATACATATATCTCAACATGAAGTCCATGAGAAATGATTTTCCTTTTCTAAATGCTCCAGCTACAGAAACAGCAACAACTTCTTTGTCCCGGACAGCTTCTGAGAGAAGGATACGATTAAGTGCAATTTCATCTAATTCGAAGGAGTGATCATCTTTCATGACGAGGACCTGAACTGGCCCTGCCTTTTTCAAGGTATCCTCTTCTTCTGAGCTCCATTCATAAGCTTTTTCTGAAAACCCACCTGTTAAGGAGAAAAAGCAACAGAATTCAGATGAATGAGTTGATCTTCCAGAGCATACGTCCCTATTTGATAATCCCCAAGCTCTGTACACTGTAGGCATTGAGTGGCTCCATTTATTCAGTCGTGAGTTTGATCACATATATTATCTCTAGACTTGATTCCTCAATGTGGCCTATCTGGTCTTTCCGATCATTACATTGATTACATAACAAGTAAACTCAGGTTTCAACTGAACATCAAAGCAAGGTCCTAAATGAGGTACTCTAGTCTGTGTTCAAAGAAGGTATGAAAAATCAAAGTAAAGACTTACAAAAATGGAAAAAAAAAAGAGTTCAGAGGTTCAGGTCTAAGACCAAGGGAACAAAATCTTCCATCAGTTGCTGTATCTGACTTACTACTCAGATTTAGCCTGACTCAAGGATATATGCCTTAAATCCTAAAATGAAAACTTATTATGATCTCTTCCTTAGTCATCCCTCCAGATTCTTCTGGTTGTTTTCCTTCAAGATCATACTGAGTTCCTTATTTGGATACTTTCCCCTGCCTTCTTGCCCTTATAGCACTCTATGAATCAGCACTCCTGACTGACCCTTCCCCCCTAGACTATTCTTTAGTCTTCTCACTTGTTTGCCTGATCCTTGACAAGTGCCCAAAATATACTTTTCAGACTGTCCAGTGAAAGCTTGTTTATTAAAGCCTGTACTGTCTAACTCAGAGGCATTCCTACCATAATAATATTCACAAGAAAAGAACAGGGGTTAGTTGGAGAATGGGGTAGAGGGAGGAGAAAAGGAAGAGGAGGTGCTATAGAAGAAATAAAAGGACACAATAAAAGTACAGATTCCCTTTCCAGGGACTTTTAGTCACTTGAGGCTGACAGCCAGAGAGCACTACCGAAGTCTTCCCTGTAACTACCTCCCATTTGGATGCCAATATTCCATATCACTTTCATTCCCAAAGGTTTATTTTGCTTCTTCTGGCAAATGGACCTAGAGACTGTCCCTGATGGAAGGACAGAGATTAATTCCCTTTTACCTGCTCATCTTCTGACTATTTCCATTAAAATTTGCCCGGATCAAATATTTCCACTGTGGCTAGCAATGGATGTAGACTACTTATAAAAAGCTTGTTCTCTCCCGGACCACAAAAAGCCCTCCTAAAAAAAACTCCCTGGAAATGAGTTTATTCATAAGATGTGCCCTCAAAATGGAGCATATCCAGGAAAAAGTATATAGAAGAGATTTTTCAAAAAAAGAGTCACAGGAGATGAAACTTAAATACCTTTAAGGCATCAATGTTATTTACATAAATCTCAAATGGGAGAAATGAGAATGGTAACATCCCTAGGGTATAGATGTCTGGGACCCTGTAACTGGTGATCAGCAGTGAGGAGAACCATGTAGCTGGAAGTGTGCAGTAATTCAGAAAAGCAGCTGGTAGAAGTAAAAGGATTTGATTCTACCAGTTGGTGCTAAAAATGAATCATGAAATGAGAATCAATATTCCCAACAACCCCAATAGGAAAATGTCATTGGAAAAGTCACATGCTTAATGTCCTAAAGGTATTCAGAACTCTAAGTAGTTGTTGCTACTATTTATAGATGGAGCACAATAGAAAGGAAAAAACACACTGTAGTTGATCTGATGTGTCTTTATGGAATTAGCAGTCAGGGAATACTGCTTCTATGATGGCGCAAAGAGAGAAGAGCTATCTGTTCTATGATCCTAGAAAATTCAAAATTGCTATTACTTAAATTATAATTAATACAGCTGGATCAAGTAAAGATGGGGGGGTTCATTCTGGCCACACAATTCTGAGGGTATTGAAGGATCAATTTTCAAAATATCTGAAAGGAGAAAATACAAAATGATTCAAAAAAATCAAAAGTTTTTTACTACCTAAAAAGAAGAATTGAAAGGATATCAGTAACTAGCAACTGATATCTATTTTTCATTCCTACAAATTTTTATGAGAATAATTTTTAAACATATTTAACTACAAAACTATGAGAAAGGAACAGGCATGCTTTCACAAAAAACGACCATATCTTTGCAGTCACACTGAAAGGTACAGAGAGAATGACTATCCCAATGTGCTTATTTTTTGAATACTATAAAAAAAGTGTTTGATATGTTAGAACAAAATTCAGCTTTGAAGGCTCTCATCTGAGATTCCTTGACAAATTTAACAAGGTTAACTGTAGTTCATGATTCTTTGATTACTAATATTAATTGAGGCATAAAATAAAGACATCTTTGCTTGCTTGCCAAAGGTATTTTTACTATCATGGAGGATTTCTAGCCTAGAGTCCAAATGGGAGAGGGATTCCTGATCAATGGTAGGTTCTTCCAGATTCTCCTGCTTGTGGATGACATTATTCTGATCATACAAAACTCCAGAATAACTGCATACTTAAATGACATCTGTAATTTCTAAAAAGAGACACTGTCCATGTGGAAAAATCCAAGTGGATGAAGAATACCTGTTGTTCAGACCATGATATGCAGTTCGCTAAACAGTCCATTGAGGGAATTCATCAGTACATGTATATTGGACAGACACCTGGATGGACATTGAGCTAGTTCCATAATTAAATAGGAGGAAGGCAGTGAGCTATATTGGATTGCACTTTGAAATTATGTAGTATTCTTAATGAAACCAAGCTTCTTCTTCAAATAAAATCTCATCTTTTTAACATTAATATTCTTCTGGTAATATTATATTACTGCAAATCATGTAATGCCACAATCTCCACAGAATCACAGTTACAGGACATCCAAAGGCAATGGACATTTGCAAAGTGGGTGGAAATAGGTAGCAGCAAACATAATGCCAACAATTAATTACCCATGTGAAGTGCAGACAATGGCCTCTTTTGCTGTTTTACTCTAATTAAGGAAATGATCATTCTATTTTATGTTTAAGTAAAGTCCAAAATAAAAAAATAAAACAATAATTTTTTAAAAAACTATGACCTAAAAAAGAGCTGGACTATGCATACTTGTTATGAGGACTTTTTTATTATCAAATTGGGGCTGTAAGAGTGAGAGATATGAAATGGTTACCTAAACAAAGAAACAAGTAAATGAATAAGTAAATAAATTTTTGAAAGTCTTATCAGAGGAGGGCAGGTCTCCAGTCCATTTCAGTGGGTTATTGCTCAATCTAATACTGGACGAATCAGATTTTCTAGGAAGGACCTTGACAGCAGGCAGTGGAGTGGGACAGAAAAGCAGAGGTAGAGGAGCTACAAGGTCTGTATCCCAAAGAGACCAGAGAAAAGTGAAAAGGGCCTATATGTACAAAAATATTTATAGCAGCACTTTTTGTGGTTGGCAAATAATTAGAAATTGAGGATATGGTCATAAATTGGGGAATGGATGACCAAGTTGTGATATATAATTGTGATGTTGTGCTATATGAAATGATGAGCAGGATGCTTTCAGAAAAACCTGAGAAGACTTATGTATTGGATGTAGAGTGAGGTGAGAAGAATCAGGAGAACATTGTATACAGTAACAGCAATATTGTAGTGATGATCAACTATAAGTGACTTGACTATTCTGAGTAATGCAGTGATTCAAGACAATTCCAAAGGACTTATGATGAAAAATGCTACCCACTTCCAGATAAATATCTGATGGATTCTGAGTGCAGATTGAAGCCAATTGTTTTTTCACTGTAATTTTTCTTGAGTTTTTTTCCAACTAATATGAAATATTTTTCATGACTTCACATGTATAATTGATATCAAATTTCTTGCCTTCTCAATGCGTGGGGGAGAGGATACGGAAAGGAAAAGAAAAGGTTGGAGGAAGGGAAATAATTTAAAATAAAAAGGGATTGAGGACGATAGAGAAGAAAAAGCAAGGGATAATAGGATGGAGAGAAATAAACAATTAACTATCATAACTGTGAATGTGACTGCAATGAATTCACTCATAAAACAGAAGAAGTCAGAAGAATAGATTAGGAAGCAAAATCCAACAACAGAAAAAAAAACACGTAACATGAAGATTCACACAGAGTTAAAATAACGGATTGGAGCAAAATTTATTATGGTTCAGCTGAACACAAAAAAAGCAGAAGTAGCAATTATGATTTCTGGCAAAACAACAAAAATAGCCAACTAAAAGAGATATAGAGGGAAACTACATTTTACTGAAAGATAACATAGACCATTAATTGATTTCAACATTTAACACATATGTACCCCAAGGCATAGTTTCTAAAGACTTAAAGGAAAAACGGAAAGAATTACAAAGAGAAATAGACATTAAAACTATAATCATGAAGAATATAAATAAACAAAAAAGAAGTTAAGGTCCTGAAGAGAATTTTTTTGTTTTTTTGAATATTTTATTTTTTCCTAATTATATGTCAAAACCAATTTTTAACATTCGTTTAAAAAATTTTTGAGTGTCAAATTCTCTTCTTCCCTCTCTCCCCCCTCCTTGAGATGGTAAGCAATTTGATATAGGTTACATATGGGTAATCATGAAAAATATAGTTAAAACACAAAAAATAGAGAAAGTGAAAAATAGTATACTTTGATCTGCTTCCAGACTTCATCAGTTCTATCTCTGAAGGTGGATAGCATTTTTCATCGTGAGTCCTTTGGAATTGTCTTGGATGGATTGTATTGCTGAGGATAGCCAAGTCATTCACAGTTGTTAATTGTACAAGATTGCTGTTACTGTGTACAATAGTCTCCTGGTTCTGTTCACTTCACTTTGCACCAGTTCATGTAAATCTTTCCAGGATTTTACTGAAAGCATACTGCTTGTCATTTTTTTCCCCATAGCATAAAGGTATTCCATTAAAATCATATGCCACAACTTGGTCAGCCATTCCCCAATCCATAGACATCCTCTCCATTTTCAGTTCTTTGCTACCACAAAAAGAGCAGCTATGAATATTTTTTGTACAATTAGGTCCTTTTCCCCTTTAAAAAATCTCTTTGGGATACAGACCTAGTAGTGGTATTGATGGGTCAAAG